TTCGTAAAACTGAGAACCAAACGAACCCTTATCCGTTCTCGGAGTACGCGCGATGAAGAAGGAACTGCTGTCCTCCGTTCCATGGCGGGGCGAAGAAAGGAGCGAAAATTTTCCTAACGCAAAGCTGAAAGTCACTAATAATTCTGGTTCCATGCCGACGATGCATGTTCCCCGTAAGAGTTCCGTGGCTGGCAAGGCCGACATAGACGATAACGTTGCCGAGATCGACCCCGAGCTTAGATACAGTTTTCATAGGAACGTTCAGGTATTTCTCTTATGCATGCTTCCCTTATCTATTGCCCTTGTTTCACTGACGAGTTTGCACATTAGCGATCAAGTCATGTTTTCTTGCAGCAGTGCATGATTCGACAATGATTTTTCTTTTCTTTTGGCGCCATCACTTATTATTTTTCTGTTCCAAAATTAGGGTTTTAGTTGGTCTAGTGTTTGGGTACTGTACACCCCAATATGCCCCACAGGAAACTCAGGGCTCAACCAAGTTTGCCTCCGTGGAATTCACCTAACAGGTGGCTTTGTCAAAGTATCTGCTTCAATGAGATTCAACAAGGGCAGGCACTTACCCCAATGGAACTCCCTCTCGTCAAAGAAGCATGCATCCCAACTAGATTGACTGAGGGAGTTATTTCCTCAACAGATCTCCACTTCAGGAGGCATTTCACTCATGATAACTCATTCAAATGGAAAAACTCATCTTAGCCAATGCGTCTCTCCCCTGTGAGAGTGCCTCTCACCCAAATTATAGGAGATTCACTTCTGCCAACTCCTAAGTTATGGCCTCATCAATCATGACAATCCTCTGCTAAGAAGGAATCACTCAGGGCACCCGCCGACATCGCTCGCCCTAGGCACTTGACCAAGAAGCCCTTGTCGAGAGCAGTCACCATAGTTACCTGTCGAAGGGAGCTAGAGCTGTGTCAGATATGGCTCTTTACTTATAGCCGCAAAGCCCATCCACATTTCTTTTACTATCAAATTGTGTATTTGATGGACAACCAAAATTTAACAGCCCATAGCGATTTGATGGAGATGGAGGAATGACTCGTAAGAATGATCCAAAAGGCATTTGAGTGAGTCCAGAGGGGATATCAAGGGCGAACTTGGCAGAAAGATTCTCAAACTTAGTTATTAGAACAGGGTAAATTAGTGTCATGGTGTTAGCTTCAATGCTGGCTGTAGATGAGACCCACTATTGCATTGCTGATGAATAATCCACTCTCGCACCCAAGCATGGAGGTGGAAATTAAGATTGACCAACATGTTCTTTAGGGGGATCATAAAAGTGAGGCCACCAAAGAGGTTTAAGATACCCCGCCAAAAGTCATAATAGGAAAGATCAGACCCTCTTGACTGTTGCATATCGATAACCTCGTTGATGGATGTCAAAGACACATTAAATGTCGTTGTTCTTCATCACCTTAAAGGCAACCACTCTTAGATGGTTCTGGCATCTACCACTAGGCATCATCATCACATCCTTTGTCAAGTTCAAAGGACGATGATCACAAAAATTGTGAGCGCCTAGAAATCTCTGAAGAAGTTACAGGTTTTCTTGAAGATTAGGTAGCATCCACATGAATTCTTGAGAAACTTCATTATTAAGTTCCAGAGGGAGATGATATATGTGAAAGAACCTAGAACCGACAGTTGCCCAAGCTGCTCTAACCCAAGTCTTTAGGCAGGGCTTATTCAGGTATGCACTTGACTTGCAATAGTCAAGAACTTTAGCGAAGTTACTGAAACTTGCCAACAACCACATCAATGCTGAGAATTATTATAATTTTGCTTAGTCCTCTTTTATTGCTCACCGTCGAGATTTGTTTAAGAGGCACGATCAATCTCAATTTTTTTTTAAAAAGTTAAAAAGAGTCTCGACCAGGTTGGGCTATCGGGTCGTAAAAAAATAATATAAATATTAAATATCTACGTGCCAGCATTTTATTGGAGTCTGGATGTATGCTGACTCCACAAAGAATATTTTCTCCCCATAGAGGGCCAAAGCATAGTTAGGATAGTTTTTCCCGTTTGGACTCTGCATAGAATAATTTCTCCAAGGGAACAAGCTAGTTTCAATCCAGGCCATTCATATAATCAGGGTGGTACTCACTATCTTTAGAGGAGATGGAGTTGAATTATCTCGGTAAGCTAGTCTTTAGCGACCTCGATCGAGAGAGGTCAACTTGGGAACTATGCTCAGGATGTTTGTGGCTGGAGTAGGCCCAGTGACTTTAATTGAAGAGGATAAGCTAGCGAGTGACCGTCCTTTTAATGATGCTATGGTGATCACTACTTTAATTGCTAACTATCATATTATTAGTATATTGATGAACATGGAAAGCTTAGCCAACTTAATTTTTTAATGTTTTCAAGAAATTGAACTTATCTGCTTCTCATCTCATCCCCATTATAGATCTATTCTATTACTTCTCAAGAATGTGATGAGATATTGAAGGGATGATTGGCTTACACATCACCCAGGGCGAGGGAAAATCCCAGTACACGACAATGGCCGACTTCATTGTGATGGATGCACCCGCCACATATAATGTCATCTTCGGGTGACCATTGTTGCACACTTTCAAGGTGGCCGTCTATACTTATCATGTGACTATCAAGTTTCTAAGACGAGAATTAAAGATCATTGTAATGGGTTACTTGATGCAATTAAGGGCCTGCTACCTAAGCCACAAGAAAAGTTTTTTTTTTGAAATTAGCTCAGTGTCTAGGACTTGGAGCACATATGACTTGAATGATTTGTTATTCATAAGATAAATTAATATATTAGTATATTTTATTTGGCACATTGATACAAATATTTCTCCTAAGTTCCTTTTTTGCTAGCGAGTCATTCATGAGGTACTTGAGAAATGATACAACCAAAAAAACGAGAAGCCTACTAGGTATGCCAATAATCACTTCCTTTCAAAATAACGTAAATAAACATGACTAGACCTTACAACTTCAAATAAAAGGACACAACACCTTACAATCTTTTATAGTTTAAGAAGAAAAATACAATGGGGTGTAAACCATAGATAGAAGAAATATATATAAGTTCAAGACGAAGTCATAGAGGGGAAGGGGAAAAGAAGCTAGCTCACAAGCTAGAGAAAACCCTTAGATTTTTTTTACTCGAAAAATTTACACATAACATTCTTCTAAAACAGTCACCAAATATCACTATAAATAGAGAAAAAGAAGCCCAAAAGACACCTAAACAGCTGCCCAAAACAACCAACCAAAATAAGAGAAAGGAGCTCAAAAGACACCCAAGCAATCGCACAAAACAACCAACAAGAATAGGGGAAAGCCAAGGGACAACAACAACAATCGAACAACCAAAGGGGAACTAGGAAAGCTAGGGAGCAGGAACCGAACAACCAAAGTAAGGGGAACCAGGAAAGCCATGGAGCAGGAACTAAACAACCAAGGCCAAACAGTAGCCATCCGCCCGGGGGGGGGGGGGGGGCTTACATCATTTCTCCCATGGGAGAGAATTTTAATCTCCCGATGAGATAGCTTTAAAACATCCATCAAGCGCAGATTGAGCCATATCCAACTCCCGAATCAAAGCAGCATTCTTCTTTTCGATCATCACCTTTTCTTGATTAAACTCGGCTAGAAGCAGTCTATTTTTCTTCTCATATCTTTCTGCACACAAATTTATTTTCTCCTGAATTTTGTAAAGCTTGTTATGGATTGGATCGGTAGAACTTCCTTGGGACGGGACCCATCTGTTTGTTGGAATGTCCATTTTATTTAGAAAGAAAAAAGACTCATAAAAACCTAAGTTTCTTATACCAAATTACAACAACAACAACAACATCAAGCCTTTATCCTACTTCGTGGGGTCGGCTACATGAATTCTTTTTCTCCATTCTATCCTATTAAAAGTCAAATTCTCATTTAAATCTATTAAAGAAAGGTCATTCATAATATTTTCTAACCAAGTCTTTTTAGGCCTACATCTATCTTTCTTAACATAAGTCAAATCTAATACTTCTACTCTCCTAACCAGGTCATCGGAAGGTCGCCGTTTTATGTGACCAAACCATCTAAGGCGATTCTCTCTAATCTTATCTTCTACTGAGCTACTCCAACCTTTTCACGTATATGCTCATTTCGTATCCTATCTCTAAGGGTAAAGCCACTCATCCACCTGAGCATCCTCATCTCTATCACACTTAACTTACTATTACGCTTCTCTTTTAATGGCCAACATTCAGCACCATAAAGCATTGCAGGCGTCAACACCATCTTATAGATTTTTCCCTTGAGCTTGAGGGGTACTTTTCTATCACACAACAAGCCTGATGCATTCCTCCACTTCAACCATCCAACTTGAATTCTGCTGATAATATCCCCATCTATTTCATCATCACTCTGAACAATAGATTTAAGATATCTAAAACGTGTACTCTTATTAATGACTTGATCGCCCAAAGTCACAATCCCCTCACTAGGTGTATTAATACTAAAATTATACTCCATATATTGTGTTTTAAATCTACTTAAGCGAAAACCTTTAGACTCTAAGGTTGACCTCCATAATTCATGTTTACCTTCAACTCCCTCTCTAGTCTTATCAATAAGAAGAATATCATAAGCAAAAAACATATGCCAAGGTACATCCTAAATGTCTAGTGAGAACATTCATGACTAAAGTAAAAAGATATGGGCTTAAGGCTGATCCTTAATGTAACCCAACCGAAATAGGAAAATACTTGGTCAAACCACCTTGTGTTTGAACACAAGTAATAGCTCCTACATACATATCTTTAATGATTTGAATATAAGCGTTATTAACTCCTTTCTTTTCAAGAACTCTTCATAGCACTTCTCTTGGAACTTTATCATATGCTTTTTTCTAAATCAATAAATATCATATGTAGATCATCCTTATTTTCTCCATATTTTTCCATCAAACCTCTTAATAAATGTATGGCTTCCATAACCGACCTACCCCACATGAATCCAAATTGATTTTGAGAAACATTAGTATTACGTCGCAACCTATGTTCCATAACTCGCTCCCATAGTTTTAAAGTATGACACATTAACTTAATTCCTCTATAATTCGCACAATCTTGTGCGTCACCTTTATTCTTAAAAAGAGGAATTAAGACACTCATTATCCTCTCATCGGGCATCTTTTTAGTTTTCAAAATAGTATTAAAAAGTTTAGTAAGCCAAAAAATTCCTTCATCTCCTCAGCATTTCCACATCTCTATTAGAATATCATTAGGT